TACGTGAACGAAGCAAACAAACAAAATTTTCAATTGATTTTTTTTTTAATTTTAATTTCAGGTCAACTTGAAAACATCTAGTAAAAAGTACCATTGGCTCACGAAATATAAAATGCGCGACAAAAAGGCCAAGCGCTGGACGAAGCAGTTCACTTTGGATGAGCAAAATGATCGAAACAATCGACAGCTATACCAGCGAATGCCATCACCGCTTGGTACACTTTGGACTGATTACATTTGCCATCGGATAAAAATGCTCAAGAAAGGAATGGACGTGTACACTACATCAAAATATGCGCGCTTGAAGTTTGACAAGTATGTTGAGTCCAATAGTACTATAGATAAACTTTGCGGCACTTTGGTTAATCATCAAGCAGCTTTGATTCATTTGGGCAACGCCGACATGTCACCAAATTCGCCAATACGCATTAAGAAGCATGTGCGCTGTCCCGGTACACGCAAACTTTTGAAAGGTTTTCGAAAACGTGGCAATTGTGTCGTGCGCAAAGTCGATGAGTATTTTACATCACAGACATGCGCAAAATGTGGCAGACGATTCGATCCAAACACCAAAAGCAACCGTTTCAAAGTTTGTGAAAATTGTGCACCGGTGCCAAATTCAATCATGGCTAACTTTTTACCATCGAAAATCGTGGCACAGCTCAGCAAACGGCGTTTAAAGTATAACAAAGTTTATATTGAAGAGAGTTTGGCGGTATTTCTGGCTCGAGGTGAAATGACTGAGCATGATTTCGACATTATAGCTGATCGTTTACTGTCTAAGGTGGCCGTGTATCCAAAAAAATGGCAAGTAAACGCAGTGAGTGGTGTATTGGAATATGCTGACGTCAAAGTCGATCAACAACCACATGCAGTTGATGATGAAAATGCAGCGGGAATCGATGGAGAGGTCGCTCAACAACCGTGTGCAGTCGATGATGAATGTATGACGGAAATCGATGACAAGCAACAACCAATGATTGTGCATCAGACAACTTGGGATCGTGATATCGTGGCCGCCAAATGCATTCTCATCAAAGGTATGTATATAAGAAATGGACATTTGCATATTATAGATGTGTTATGTCTGTGTTAAATGACATTTGTATTTTTTTATAGGACATTGTAACCTGTTTGGACTGGATATCCCGCTAACATTGCAGAGACCACGTCGACAACAAGCAGTTCAAAATAATCAACAGCCTTAAGCATAACCAATCACCATTTTAACTCGAAAATTAATTAAAAATTAATATTGTAATTTTGTTACACTAACTGAGACTTGACTGTTGTGTCTCAGCATTTCGAGGAAGTACTATCAAGGCTCTGTTTTTCTGTGAGTATTTTTCATTATTCGATTGCATTTATATATTCAGACGTGACAATTGTTTTTCGCTTCGGGAAGTGCTACCATCAATCGCTTCGTTGTATAAATGCCATTAACTACCATAGAATTTTGCCTACTTTGAATTAATAAATACCATTTTTCTATTTACAGATATGGGAAACACCCTAGAAATTCTATGAGAGAAATTCTATGAGAGAGAATACACTAGACTTTTCCACAAATGTTATTCAGTTAATATGAATAAATGAACAATGTGTTAACTGATTTAATTTCGACTAATTCAAAATGATCATACGATTGATTTCAAAACAGTTTTACTCACTTGGATCACACAGATTACAGCAATAAATAAAAGTCCAAATTTTTCCATTTTAACAAAGATTTGTATTTTATTTTTCAAGTCAACACTTCAGCGATCAGTTAACGACTAAGCTCTTCAAATTCGTTCAGTATGCTGTTAATGCAATTAGATTGACTATGGCTGTGAATTTGGAGTGATAACGAATCGACGTAGCAAATCAAACTCTAGTAACTAAAATAAATAAAATCTATACCGACTAATCATAAAACAAACAAAGTATGTAGCTGTGCAAACGTTGTGTGGTCATAGTTCAGAAGAAGATTGATATGAATGAGATTTTTTGCGCGTAATTGCGCCAGGCAATATAATTCAAAAATGTTTGCAATTGTTTTCTGATTCTCTCTTGAATGTTCAAAGATTCTTTTTATTTGTTTTGTTTACTTACGTAAAAGATTACAAGTATAACTACAAATACAAAACAGAATGTGTAGAAAGAGAGAAAACTACCCTTCGTTTTATTTCATCTTAACGCATTTATGGATAACTTTATTTTTGAAAGTTTTACAAAAAATGAGACATTGTGTCAAATTATATCGATTGAATTAAAATTGGTATTTTTCGATTGTTAATTTTTTTTACTTTTGAAATGTTGATCATATTATCTTATTAATATGTTACAAAATTGTCAATTCAGGATAGAAAAAAGCTTTGTCTGCTCAGAATGGACATGTACATGGTTAATACCATACCAAGTTCATGGCACCACATAATGTGACCGTATTTGGTCAAAACTTCGCCGCACTTCTTCACAAAAGCTTGTACCTCTTCAACATTTCGGAAATTCAATCTTGGGTATTCAGATCTAATGCTATATACGCTGGGATCAAGACTTATCTCCAAACATTGTTCCGGTGAAGCTGTATGTCCTTCACATCGTACACATTTGCACGTAATTTGTTTTACGATCCACAAAATGTGTTGTCGCTCCGATTTCGGCTTCATTAAATTTGGGATAGGTGCAGTCAACAAATGTTCACCTTTCTTAACTGGTCGAATAGTGCTGCCGACTAAATTACCACCACAATCGCCCACGAAAACATTCGGTAGACATGATGACTTGAAGTAATTTGCTGTTATTCCGCTTAGCTTATACAAGTGGTATTGAGGTGAAAATGTTGTCATTACTGAATGACAATTATTGTTCTTCACAATCAGAGCATGATGACCAATAAGGTGCATTAAGAAACGTCTATGTTTCATCGATTGGAACATTGCCTTGATTTTTGGTATTTCAATGAGTAGGTTATAAATGTTTGAAATGAACCATGGAAAATCCAGATTTTTTGCCACATTTGGTCCAATGCGTAGTTTGAGAAATGGGTAACTCGTTTGAATTGCTGCTAATCGTTTTTTCTACGAAATCCATTAAGTCGTCAACATTTGAAAACATATGAATGACCAGCAACATTAATCGCAAAGATGACATTCGTGAAATATTCTCATCGATGTCTTCCATGAATTTGACGCCACACTCATATTCGTGTAGAAAACTTCCTTGGCATTCTTTGTGGCAGAACATTGCAACGGAACACTTGGGACACGGTACTAGATTCACATTACTTTTCAAGCAAATGTTACATTTGCAACCGTAACGTATGTTCAAATAAGCAAGGAAGGGACGTTCAACTAATATCGTTTTCCCTACATCAATGTCCGCCTTCGCTACCACTGAATATCCACCGTTACCATCTTGACCAACTTCCAATACATTTGCCATACTCGGATATTTTTCGTTCGGTTCAAAGCTTAATTTGACATTGGATTGTACTTTAGAGTCGGTTTCAAGGCATTCGCGACAGTTCCTTTCTCGTTTAACCAATTTCGGCATCAAGCGTTCAGGATAGCCATATTTTTGCCCGCAACGCATTTTGGCTTAACGACGCAATGATGTTCGTGTAGAGAGCATCATTTGCGTTTGACTCTTTTTTTCACAGCATTATTCGAGTTTTTTTACTTTTGAGAATTGTTTTTCTGGAATAATTAATTTAATGACAAAACTAAAATATTGTTCAACAAATATATCAAAAAAATCATACTACCGAATTTTTAATGGGGTTGGAACACAAAAATTGAACCACTGCTCGAAATCCAATTACGAGAATTGCTAGGGATTCACCAAAAAACGAAGAAAAAATTAAAATATTTTTTGATATTTTAAGGTTGATCAATTTTTATTGCAAATTTTCCTCACTTTCTTATATTGAATCAAATTATGCTTGCAAAATAACGAAGACTGTGGTCACAAACTCGTTCGTTGAAGATTGTATTACAGACTGAAGCCGAATGGAGAATTTATCGAAGCACACAGTGTGCCACACACTTACAAAAACTGTCGTTGTTAATACATTTTTACAGTTTTTGACTTACGTCATGAATACGCGACAAGAAATTCTTTAATAGTAGTTGTGCTGCAAAACTTGTGCATGTATTGAGTTTTCTGTTCTTCTTTCGCTTTTTTTCAACACAAAAGGATTCTGTAGCATAAGCGCTTTTTTTTAAAAATAAATAAACAGTCAATAAACAGCAGTTTTACATTATAATTTATCGTTAAAATGGATTTAACTTTGCGGTACTCTCTATAATTAGTCTCGATCATTCCGTTTGTTTATTTCTTTTCTTAATACATGCGATGAAGTGTCGACTTGTATGGTTTGAAGTAAATTGTATCGATTTATGTGGCGCGATGTGGCGACGAAATTGTATCGCAATAAGTAGACCGTATATACAAAGATGATCTCATCTCTTCACCGGCAAATTCTTGGAACTATAAACGATAAATGTTTGCTTTAAAAATAATTTGTTAGGCAATACTATTACTAGAATGGGATGATTTCTTGAAACAATAAACAAAATACGTCGCGAACATATCGTACATATTTCACTTCCCCGAAAAAAAATTGAATTCAAAAATGCCTTATTTTTTTATCCAACATGAATTTTGGCGACAACGAATTAGTTCATATAAGTCAATTATAAGAATTTGACTCGTTCATCGATAGAGAATTCTCTTCTTAAGAAGCTTATTTGTTTATATTCATTTTCCAGTGTTTCTGAATTTCAAACTTCAATTTTCAGTCATTTCACATGTGTCATTCCAGGTTGATTTGACATTTCATCGGCAATTTCAGTGAAATACAAACAACTTGTCACGGATTGACCAAAATCGTCTATAAACGGGACACAAACAGAAAATAGCATCAAAATTTACGAAAATTAAATTTAAACAACCACGGATTTGTGTGCAAAATGTGTTTGACGGACCATATGTTACATCAAGCCTGTGGATTTTTGCTACTGGATGACTTGAATACATTCATTTACTGTTGCAAAAAATGCCAGAACCAATTTGATTCGGGACCCAATTTGGAAGTACATATTCTATCCGATTCATGTTATAATTTGCACAAATCGGAGCATCGAGATGACAACGAAGACGTAATTGTGAAAGATGAGATTTTTGTGGATGAATTCAGCTGTGATACGGATTCAATCAAAATCGAACAAACCACACAGAATGTTGATGAATTGTGGGAACATTCTGACACACCAATTGCTGAATTGTTTGATTTTCAAAGCAGTTATAACACAAGAAATGAAAATTTAATCGCCGAAAAACATTTGAATTGTGGAAAATCTGAAACGAAAACTAATGAAAACCAAACCACACAGATGCCGCCAAAACAAAACATTGATGAGAAGCCGCCAGGATCATTAGAAACTGAAAAATCATGTCATAAAAAACACCGAGGACGACCGCCAGGATCGAAAAATAGGAAAATTCAAAGTAACAATGAAGAGACACCACCAAAAGTACAAGTCGACCAACCCGAGGAAGTCAACAGCAACGATAACACGAATAAAATCGAAAATAATAAAAAGAAAAGAGGTCGACCAGCATCCGGGGTAATTTTGTGTGAAATGTGCCCCGATCAGAGTTTCGATGGCAACGCGGCCCCAATCAAACATTTGAAAAACGGTCATCTGCCGCCAAAAAATAAGAAAGAATGCGAAAAATGTAAAAGATGCCCGAGAAACTATGAGGCACACATGGAAAAATATCATTCCGAGCAACCGATGTACAAATGTGATTTTTGTGATGCAACATTCAAAGTCAATATGAGCCGGGTGATTCATATGAGAAAACACACCGGTGAAAGACCGTGGCTATGTGTTATTTGTGGAAAGTCGTTTATTGATCAGTCAACGTGGCGACATCATGAACAGGTACACAAAGAGGTCAAAAAGTTCCAGTGCACTGTGAACACATGCGATCGATCATTCAGTAGAGCATATAGGCTACGTGATCATGTCAATGCGTGTCATACTCTCGAGAAACCATTTCAATGTGACATTTGCCAGAAGACATTTGCATCACAACGGTACTTACGTATTCATAAATTTACACACGGAGATAAGACGTTGCCATGCAGATATTGCGAGAAGAAATTTAAACTCTGGGAAAATCGACAAAAACACGAGAAATTAGTTCATAAAATTATAAAATTTATTGGCAATGAAACTAAGTGAACAGTTTTATTTAATTTTTTTGTTAAGAATAAAAGAAAATTAAGAAAATGATCTGAAAATTGATTTAAACTTGTTTTATTTTAAAATGAATGTTAAAACTAAGCCAAGTTTTCTTTATTTGAATAAAAAAAATCTTAACTAAAATAAATTCAGAGTTGAAATTATTTGAAATGAAAATTAATGAAAAATAAAAATAATTTTTTAAAAAAGTTTTAGTAAACTGGCCGTGAAATTTGGCACTGCAATGTGTTTATGTAGGCGTCGACAATTTTTGCGATTTCATCACACCAATCCTCATCACCGTATTTCCGCAAAAAAGTAATGCATTTATCAATGGTCTCTTCAATCTTCGAGTAGTCGTACGGCGTCAATTTCGACGCATTAGACAGAATCAACCTGAAGCTCGGGTCTAAAGTCAAAAGTTGTCGTTGAACCGCAGATGATGTGGATACAGTTGAACAACGGATGCAGTTGCATTTAATATGTTTTTCATTCCAAAGACACTGTTGGCGTACATGTTTTGGTTGCAGCAAAAATTTAAAATACGAAATGAATAATTCGTCGCCTTTTTTAATTGGACGAATGGTGACATATACCGAATTGCCATTTCGTTCATTCATAGAAACATTCGGTGCACAAGAATGATTGAAGAAATTCAACGTCAACCCGATTTGTTGATAGAAATCCACTTCATCTTTCGGCCGAGAGCTTACATGATTCGAATTGAAATTCGTAATCTGCGTATGTTGACTGATTAAATGCATCAAAAAACGACGACGATGCACCGTATCAAATTGCTTGGAAATTTTTTTGACATTCAAGCATGCTTTGTATATGCTGTAAACGATGAATAGAAAATCTGGTTTCTGTGCAAATTTAATGCTGATTGGCATTTTGAGAAACATGCGATACTTTGAACGATCATCCACTAATGAAATCGGAATGTTGTCACATTTGACGGCATCTTCAACGAAATTCATCAACTCATCGACGGTATCAAAAATATTCATGGCAATCAAAAGAAGTCGTATCTCATTCAACAATAGACCATTCTGTTGTTTGTCGGTGTGAAACTTCAGGCCACATTCGTCCTTATGAAGAACATTGTTTTGGCATTCGTCACTGCAGAACATTGCCACCGTGCACTTACTGCATGGCATCAAATTAGTGTTGTCTTTCAAGCAACTATTGCATTTCCATCCAAAGCGACTGTATAAATAGACCAAAAATGCTTTTCCCATAACAATCGTTTGACCCACATCAATGTCTTGTTGCGCAATCGTCGATAATTTGCCCATTTCATTACGATTCACGCTCAATACGTTCGCCATACACGGAACATTTTCATCGGCATCAAAACTTAACTTCTGATTGAATGCTGGTAATTCTGGATTTGCATCGCGAAATGTCAAACAACCGGCCAAACATTTCAAACAATCACTTTCTCTTTTATTCAATTTTGACATCAATTCACGTGGGTAGCCAGATTTTTTGGCAAGTTCAATATCAATGAGACATTCGTTGTAGAGTTTTAATTTCAAAAAACACGAAGCACGATTCGCATACGCCAAACTAATGTGCTTCGATCCAACAATGGCAAAACAAAGACTTTCATTGTATTTTTCCATCGCTTCGGCCCATTTTCTCTTGTCAAATAATGCATTTCCCTGCATTCGCTTTTGAAGCGCAGTTTGATTACTTTTGGCGGGGTTTGAATATTGGCTGAATGCTTGAAGTGCACGATCAATCATTGACACTGGCGTCTTTGCAAATAGATCCACGTACAGCGCAGTTGGTTGATTCGATTCTTTTTTCCACAACATTATGCAATAGAAATGATTTGAACTTTTCTGAAAGTAACGCCAAAAACTTACTGAACACATTCAAATTCATAAAATACACAAATTGTGTTGTTTTACTTACCGAGATAATCTATAATAAAGTGCAGAAATTATTGGTGGAAAATTCTCACTGAATTCAAAAATAGTTCTTATCCACTGAAGTTATGCGAAGAGAATGAAATGCTCGACCGTATTGTGGAATCACTTGCTCATTATTGAAAACAAAAACTGTAATTGTCAGCATATTACTTACCAATAACTTGTTGAATTGTATTGGTGCGTTGCGATATGAAATCGGTAGTTGTGCATGTATTGTTTTCTTATTTAAAACTCTGCGTAAAGGATTGTATGTGCATAAACATATTCTTCGATGCAAAAAAAACCCAAAAAAGTTCGCCTTATATACACTTCATCATCAGATTCTCTCATACACCGTGCACAGCAACCATTGACTGCTTAGACTTGATTATTTCATTTGTTTATTTTATTTTCTTAAATAAACAGCAACGAATGGATTATAAATGAGTCATATTCATGCAATTGTATCTAGGGGGAGACACGGGCTTTAATATTGCCAATTTTTCCTAGTTTTTATTTAGTAAATCGCATTTGACAGGACCTAATAAGTCCTAATTTTTCTTAGTTTTTTATTGTTTTCTAGTTTGTGTCTACCCCCTAGAATTGTACGCAGCGAGAACTTTGACTTTGCTCTGAGTTCATTTTTTTTTCTTCAAATTTTTGTGTCGACGATTGTTTTTCTGCAGTACATTATCGTTTGTTATTCAATGCTTGCAATTGAATATATACTTTTCGCATTAATTTAGATGATATCATTTCTCCGATGGCAAATTTCTTGGAATTAAAAACGATAATTATGTTTGTTTATTGTATAAATTCGTGAGACATAATATTGTTACTGCTCTGAATTAAATTTTTGCGATAGCAAACAAAGTACGCCAAAAACCCATCAACAAAAATGCTTATAGAGTTATGAAATGTATTGGCATTGAATTGATTCTCAAACTAAAGAACCAAAAAATTGAAAAATAAATATCTGTGTTAAATAAAAGAGGTCCTCACATTTTTCTATACTCTTATCTTCTCTTATCAATCCATAAAATGTATCATAATATACCTTGATCGACTCCAAAAAACAAAAGTTGATGTGGCAACCGCGGTATATAGCAATCATTCCTTGTATTTTTTTATGATGGCACTGATTAAGAGATCTATTAAGATCACAAAAATCCTTTGATTTACGAAATGAAAGGCGGCTTTTGTCTAGGGCATGAAAATTACTTTTTGTATATTTTAAATTATTTCAATTTCGGACATATATTGTAACAAATTTTGTATTTATGATTATTATTATTGATGAATGAAATGAATACGTTTTCTTAAATGTAACTAAAATGTTTAAATCACCAAGCAAATTTTATTTACACTTTTTAACTTCGTTATTATCTCAACATTCAACTAAAAAAATCAAATTCAAACAGAAATAATGTTTTGTGTTTTTTAAAATCTTAAAGTAAAAAAAAATCAAAAAAAAAAATCCAGTTTAAATAAAATAATTTTAAAAATAAAGCTGATTTCATTTTCAATTAACACTAATCTCACTGCTTAAATTCTATGAATAAAAAAACCACGGTTCAATTGAATGTGCGCTTCAAATGAATTCAATTAAATTTTCGTTCGATTATATTAATTTTTTTCAGCACTCAAAATTATATATTGTCTTTGACATTTATGTTTTCGTCTAATCGTCGACGTCGATCATATTCTATTCATATGATTTTTATTTTATATGTGTTGTTGTTGCTTATTGCATCTACCTACACCTACACTGTAGATCCTACAGTAAATTGCATAGAAAAGGATAGCAGACCTAATTTAGTTAATTGTGGTTAATTGGTTAGTTGCTGTTAATGGTATTTTTTGTTCGATTCTAGATTTCAATCAAATACAGAAATTTCTGTGATAAAAACGTTCGTCAAAGCGACGTGACTGTGTCATGTACCAATAACAACTACCAATAACAGTAACTGGCTAGTTAGCTTGAGCCTTGTATCTTGTCGACAGTATTAAATAAATTGCATATTTAAATTGCACCATGGTTACGAATTTCGTGTCCCCTCCGGCCCTAAAGACGACAAAATCAACTAAATTAGATATTGTGAAAAATATCAAACCAAATAATTGTTCATTTAAAACAACCAGGTCATTACCGATGTGGTGGCAAATTTTTGATCACAAAATTTACACTGAAATCGTTTTTCGCCGTGGCTTAACATATGTTGGTGTAAATGTTTTCTCGTCCCGAATCGTCGATCACATACTTCACATGGATACATCTTCTGGTTTAGATGATGTAAATTAATGTGGTCTCTCAGTTCATACAGCTGCCGATAGGCATTGCCACAGCGATCACATTTATGTGGTTTCTAAAAAAGAGCCGAAAAAATTAGTAAAAATAAACCGACAACACTGAAAATAAATGTTGGAGGATACGAACCAAATGCAGGTGATACCGGTTCATATGAGCGTTTAACACGCTTTGTGCATGGTAGCTGCGTCCACACAAGTGGCAGATCTAAGTAAAACCGAGTAAAACATGATTTAATTTGCATTAGAACAAAAATGGAAAATAATCATTATTTACATATGGTTTTTCTCCCGTATGTTGTCTAACATGGGTGTCTCGATGCACTTTTTGCTTAAATGTGGCCTCACAAAAATTACACTTAAAAGGTCGTTCCTAAAACATAGAAAAATGTACAAAATTAGTGTAAAGCCGATAACCGGCACAAAGAGCATTACCGTAGAATGAAATATTTTCAAATGGGTCTTCATGTCTCTAATTGTTTTTCCGCACAACGTACACAACGTTGGGCTGAGCGGTCGTTTTGCTTGTTTCTTTTTCTTAATATGCCCGGCAAACATGTGCTGTTTAATTCGTGCCAATGATGTAAATATTCTTGAGCAAATTTCACAGGTGTATGTTTTTTTCTTGGATTCTTTCGTTGTTTTGTTGCTTTTTTTCGTCGATTTCTTCTTGGTGGTTGGTTTGAAAAAGTCCTCATCATCCGACGACGATGATGATGGATCATTTTGGAATTCAAATGACGAAAAATCATCGGCAAGCGGTTCAAATGCATTATCATCATCATCATCAGCCGCTGTATCTTTATCCTCCATGGCTATCTCCAATTTTTGTGATTCGAACGGCAAATAAATGGCCATCTCCTCTTTTGTACTGCTATCCAATGGGATCGATTCATTTTTTACATTTTCGGTCGGTGAAAAATTCGGCGAAAACACTTCAATCGGCTCTAAATCAATGACCAAATCTTGATTTGGCAACGATTCACACTCCTCTTTCACATCATGACCGACGGTATGATGCTCCAAATCATTACCAGCACTGAACTCTTCATCACAACGACTACAACTGTAAACAAATTCATTTAGATCATTTTTAAAGAGAAATCCATACGGCTTTCGATTGCCAGCCGCCACGTCAATACACATTTTCACACTCTCTGACTGAGATTTTTTTAAGCGATATGTTTTTTCGGCACACGGAAATAAACAAAATAGCTTCTTTCTTTGTTGACAGTCCGAATATTATTATTTTTTTCTCTTCCAGTGACAACTGAAAACAATGTTTGACAGAAGCGGCGATTGGAATATGTGAATATTCCAATTGGAATGGGATATTATTTAGTTGATAAAAAGTATCGGGGACATTTAAATTCAGTTGTAATTTTTTTAATGGAAGAAGTTTTTAAATTTTGTTTTTAAAAAAAATCACATTTGAAAGAGTTTTACTGGTTTTTTCGTTTAAAAGTGTTCATTTTTGTTTTCGGTTGTCTTTGAATGAATTTATTGTCTGAGTATTTTCAGTGTGTTTTATATGTACTAGACTTGTGATGTTGATACAAACGAGATATTAGAGATCTCGATATTTCATGTGTGATTGACCTTGAATGTTCTCTTCTATGGTTCTTATCAAAAACCACCGATAAATTAATCACTTGAAAATCAATGAATTTGGAAATTCTCGCCAAAAAAGTATAGAAATCAGCATAGTTGCGGTGTCTTTGGTTACAACAAAGATGACCTTATGCGATGACAAATTATTTTTCTCATTTAAAATCGTCTGTAAATTAACGCACAAAAAACTCATAATAAGCAACCAATTTCTTACAAAAGAAAGCCCATTCTTTCTGCTGTGCAATCATGTTTCATTTTTCAAAATCATGGCACAATATTTATTGATAAATATCTCTTATTCTTACAGAATGATAAATAGTATGTTAATTTATATCACGCTTCCAGCGTCAAATAAGATGTTTTATTGAACAAGAAAAAAAAATGAATTTATTTGGCTTTGCCTTGAGCAGCAACGCTTTCAATGGCTTTGCGAACGGTTTCTTCATCACCCAAAAATTGCATCGAAACGACTGGTTTGAAGTTTTCATCCAATTCATAGACGAACGGAATGCCAGTCGGCAAATTTAAGCCCATAATGGCCTCATCCGACATATTATCCAAATGTTTAACAATACCACGCAAGCTATTTCCGTGGGCAGCGATGATGATTTTTTTGCCTTCCTTCAATTGTGGAACGATGACATCGTTCCAGTATGGAAGTGTACGGGCAATGGTCAATTTAAGTGATTCGAATTTTGGGAATTCTTCTGGTTTTGGATCGCCTGCATAACGTGGATCTTTGGTGATGGCATCATTGTACGGATGATCGGCCTCCATTGGTGGTGGTGGAATGTCAAAACTACGGCGCCAAATGAGCACTTGATCTTCACCATATTTGGCTGCCGTTTCGGATTTATCCAATCCGGTCAAACCACCGTAGTGACGTTCATTCAAGCGCCAAGTTTTACTAATTGGAATTCCCGTTTGGCCGGATTCTTGCAAAATCGAATTCAATGTATTTTGAGCACGGGTCAACAACGATGTATGAGCCACATCGAATTTCAAACCAGCCTCTTTGATAGCTTTGCCAGCGGCAAGGGCTTCTTCTTTGCCTGCAACAATGATGACATTCAATGTTAATGTTGTGCAATTTCAAATGAAATCGAAATCACATTTATTAAAAACGATTTTCGATTTTAAAAACATGTACTCTGTTTGCATGACAGTAAATTTATATGAATTTATCAATCAAAACTATTATGTAAGCTAGTATCAATGCACTAATACATACCTTTGTCACTTAAATTGGCATCAAACCATCCACAGAACAAATTCTTTTGATTCCATTCGGATTCACCGTGACGAACCATTACAATCTTGTATTTTCCAGCCATTCTTATTATTCGGTTTATTTTTGCGGGTTTTTAAAGTTTCAAAATGAAAATTAACGCTGAAGAAATTGCGAGCACAACACAGTTGACGGCTTTAACACACTGAATGCGAACGATTCTACTGACCTTCACACACTCAGGTCATATCTGTCGGTATGAAAAAGTCAACAATTCACATGAAGTTGCCGACTAAACGTCATACCATTGAATGAAATCCCTATTGATAAAAAAATTCCCAATTAGAAATATGAAATTGGCGCCAATTCTCTTTTTTATTTTCTTTGGTGGAAAATAGTTTTTGGAGTTAAAAAAATATTTTTGATGACACAAAAGAATTGTACCAAAAATATTTCATAATCGATTAGTTATTTGTTAAAAGCTGTAGAATTCGTAATTAAAAGGTTTAGTGGCACAATGGCTTGCTAAAGATGTTTCAGCGCAAAAGTTCTTAATGTTATTCGCCTTATTCGTTGTCGCTGCAACCGCTTTCTCATTCATTTGAATCAAAATGTCAAAGTCGATGTGATTATTCAACCGTCAAACTCGATTCAAAGCACTGGTGCTCATTTCACAACTGTGATTGAAACTGTGATCAAACACAACATCGAACTGAAATTGGATAGTAAGATTTTTACTAATTTTTTCTCCAAAGGAACCAGAACAGGCACAAAAATGTCGTACAAGAAAATTGGCGAGGTAAATTATTGTATTAGATTCATTTAATTTTGTTTTTGCAAGGAATTAATCCAAATCAGACATTTTAATGATGATGTGATTTGCGTTTCAGTTGTATTTAATATTGGCTGAACTGGAAGATATGCAAAAAGAGACACGTGACGAAGGTAATGATGAACTTTTGCGCCGAAGTGAACGTATACGTGAACTTAAAATCAAAGCAATAAAACAACAAATTGATGATTTGAAACAGCAAATTAAATCGGATATATCGAAATTGCCAAACAATTGTCGGGTGCATGTCAAAACATTGACTGGGAAAGCTTTGACAATAAAATGCTGTAATGGTCTTGGCATGGCCACTGAAGTCAATCACAATCCATCCGATACAGTCGAAATGCTGAAACTAAAGATTTTGTTAGCAGAAGATATTCCGGTCACTATGCAACGTTTGATTTTTAGGGGAAAGCAACTCGAAGATGGCAAAACAATAGAAGAGTGCGGTATTGAAAACAATAGTACTGTGCATTTTTATCTTCGCCTCCGTGGTTGTTGAATTTTGCGAATCTTGCATCGGTTCATCAATTACAACACTTAATAGAATCGTATTGTTTGTTAATTGAAACATTAATAAACTCAAAATCACATTTTCCCAAATGATACAAACTTTGTGGTTATTTTCTTGTAATTTATTCAAATATTTCAGATTGAATTTCCATTTTCATGCACCTGAACCACATTGCTTGACGGTATTATAAGTTGTTAAGATTTTTGTTGAGGCCAACTGTCAAATTCGGTGTGATGACTATAGGACAATTCATTATATTTCAAAGCGTAGTTCAGGGAGGTCAAACAAACTAACAAACATTCTGCCAGATTAACTCACTCAAATCAAGAATTTTATCAATATTGATGCATGTACTGTGATTGGTCAACGGTAATACCGTCTCTTCTTCATAGTTTATTTGCTGGCATAGTTGTCACAGTAAGAAATATGCTCGAATACGCGCGTCTGTCCTTCTTAACCTCACCGTACGGTAGTCGCCGTGTGAATCCGATACCAGTAAGCGCGGTACCGGTTGGCGGTAGTAAAATCGTTGAATCCATGCACAAAAATTCAATATTCAAATTTGATTTGGTCATCATGTTGAATTCATCTTCGAACAGATCGAGGAATATGTCTTCTGATAATAATCGATAATTTATTTGTTAAAATCTGTAGATTTCGTAATTAAAAGGTTTAGTGGTAATTGCACAATGTTTTTCTGAAGATGAAAGTTCGAAAACATAACGCAATGGATCAACGGAAGCATCGACGCATTCCATGTCAGATCCGACATCGAAAAACACAACAAGTCAAATCAAATGATATCCGATCAAAGAAGACACAGATACAGTAAGCATTTGAGAAGATGAAGTTTCACTTGTCAATATTCCCGCACACTCTTACGTTCAAATACCTTGTTATGTATACACCATCGAGTGTCCTATCATTTTATGTGTGTATGTGATCGCATGCCAGAAGTTGCAACCCTTTCGTAATTCCATCGAAATTGTTTCGCTTAAGCAGACATCGAAAGTGTTTCGCATGCATTTCAATGAGAAAATCAAACTCTCAGCATCCTACCATTTGATCGACATTCCGTTATTGTCAGTGTAAAAACGCACAAATTTGCAAACCGAAATTTTTTAATCGATATAAATTGCAATTTATTTAATATTTGTCGCTTAGTTTTGTGCAAACAGTGAAAATTCGTTCACTTCAAATTGTGCTCGCAAAAAGTTTTGTATTGTAAAAATTATTTTTATTCCAAAATTGCTGAAAATTGAAAAAAATGCAAAGTTTTTTGAATGTTGACTACCGGTTTTCTGTACAAAAGTGGCTTAATTTACGCTCTAATGCAACAATCAGATTAAAAGTGAACCGAAACAAAAATAACTTTCCTGAATGTAACTGTTATTTCTTTTTCGTTAAATTTTAATTCTTAAATTATTTGGATTCTGATATGCACGCGGACCATTTTAGAAAGGATGAGAATTTATGCACAAAACTTCCGCAGAATGTGCGTTAGCGAAAGACTCTGTGTATATTTTTCCATACGAAAAAAATCGTTTATAGATATATTTTCAAGTGCGGTTGTATGTTACGGATGCATTCAATATCCTCAAGGAATAAGCTGGCGAGCAGTTGGCATTTAATTTACCTTCATTTGAAGAAGTTTGATTTTTTTCAGTGAAACCTACCGAAATCAAGTCTTGACTAAGAGAGTAGAATGCAAATTCAGAAAAAACTTCACTTTATTTGTAATTGTTGTCACAAAATCTCCAATGTTTTCGTCTTATAATTCTAAAATATGTTTGTTAAACACTCTGTGAATATTTTACATTATTCATCGTAATGAATATCAATTAGCGTAACAAATTAAACAATGATCTCTGTTTTTTTTCTCTACATTGCTTGCACCAGATTTTAAACTAAACCTGATTTTTCTACTGGACTTAAGCATATTAGGTAGAATGGATCCATCTCCATTTCAATAAAACTTAATTTTTTCATATCAATAAATATTGAAGATTCTGTTCAAAGTGTTCACTCTAAAAAAAGTCGGATTTCAATTTTAATTCTAATTCGAAGGTCTCTTTTTATACTGTTTCAATCGCACCTTTTTTCTTTGGTGCAATGAATGATGTTTCTATGGAATTGACATTGCTCGTATCTTCATCGGTTAAACTTGCATTTGCCGCGACGGCGACGGCTATTAGATTTGGACTATTGGCAAGCGATTGATGCTCTTGAACGGGCACTGACAATGTTATGTCATTAGCACCCAATCGTGATGGTGTATGTGATCGTGATGCAGCTCGTGATGAACAACGCGATGATGGACTTGAGTTTCTTGATTGTCGAAAATCTTCCATGGGAATTTCCTCAGATCTGAACAGAAACATTGTAAATTTTCTTATTACATATTTTCAACGTTTTTTCTTCATTGAATACAAACCTTGGTCGTGGTGTTCTCGGACTAGATTCACGTGATCGAACTTTACCGTTGCCATTCGCACGATTACGCGATGTATCCCTAGATTTGGCTCCACCAACCGCAATGCTTGGAGATCGTTCTCTGAATAGAAAAACAAATTGCGTTAAATTTTTGTTTTTGCACATAAATATAAGGGACAAGCCCACTTACCGTTCAATCGATCGGTTATGAGTTATTTGAACTCGACTCACACTGCCCGATGGCATACTCTCCCGTCGCAATGCAGCCGCAACGCCGGGCACTCGATTTGCTGTCGAAAATAGCGGACGATGTTCACGTGTTGTCTTTGATGTCGAACCGGGGCGTAAACTTGGCAACACCATACCAGGTGACGAGGGTGCCATCGTACTTTTTAGCTGTTGATCGCTTATTTCCAGCAATTGTGCGATTTGATTCATTTTCTTCTGTCGAGCTTTGGTACGTCCTTTTGTCAGACGCTGTTTCGCCGCCATACACCGAATATGATCGTCAAATACGAATTTAGCTGATAAAATTGGCGTTCGATTTGTTGTCGCACCGCCACGATGAATTGTAATATGCAAACAACGTGAATCATCTTTGTCACCGGTTACTTCAACGTCTTGCAAGAAACCAACCAATTTAGCGACTGTAAGAAGAGGATTACATCAATAACTTGAAAATCGTTTATAAACGTGAGTTAACTTACTTCCCCATCCCAGTCGCTTTGAGTCTGGTTCTACAAGCACCAATTGAAGAGCTTCAATCACAAGGAAACGCCGATATTTTGAACCGTCCTTCAACAGCACTGTGCATGCTATCAAATCACTGTTATCTAAAATTGAAAAAAAAAAAAAATTATTTTGATTTTTTTCGAAAAAAAAAAATTGACAAAAATATGCCAGACTCACTCAAATCAAGAATATTATCAATATTGATGCATGTACTGTGATTGGTCAACGGTAATACCGTTTCTTCTTCATAGTTCATTTGCTGGCATAGTTGTCGCAGCAAGAAATATACTCGAATGGCGCGTCTGGCCTTCTCCACCTCACCGCATGGTAGTCGCCGTGTGAATCCGATACCAGTAAGCGGCGTACCGGTCGGTGGTAATAAAATCGTTGAATCCATGCATAAAAATTCAACATTCAAATTTGATTTGGTCATCTCGTTGAATTCATCTTCGAACAGATCGAGGAATATGTCTTCTGATTTGTAGAAATTTTGCAGCACAATCATGCTATGATGACGGGCTGATTGAATGGAGTTGTGCTGTGAATCGGTTAATTTGTAGATTTCATTTTCGTCTTTGACAAAATGACCGAACAGCTTAAGCGTTAATTCCATGGTTATCAAACGGATACGGCTTGCTGAGGTTTTTATTTAGAAATGGAAAGAATTGAAAATATAAAAGAACCCTTGATTTTGATTTATAGAAGATTCAGCAGGTTTGGCGGTCACTTACACAATTGTCCAGAGATGTGAACGATTTGCAGCAATCGATCGATGAGTACAGTTTTATATTTGGCATTTACATTCGACTGGGTTCCGAGTACTTGATCCAGCCACTTTGAATTAACCCCTAAAATGTGATTGATGAATGTCAACCAAACAAAAAAAGTAGGCATGAACATGGTGCTTATGCGTGAATCATTTTTGTTTTTATCATACGATGCATGCAAAGCTAAAGTAACTTAATAGAAAAACAAATAATCTTGTCTAATTCTTACCGACTATAATTGACATTGAAATTATAGTGACGAAATTATGTGGAAAATGAATTTTGATAATTAAGCCGCAAACAAAAAGAAAGCCATCAATTTTGGTAAGTAAAGCAAATGGAAAGAAAGTATGATGTGGAGAAAAAGACATAAATGAGCAAAATTATTAGTCATTTTTTGTAAGTATTAAGATTAAAATTAAGATGTTGTACGGAAATAATTGGTAATACAGTTTAGTCGCACTAATAAACACGATGATAATACCTTTGTTGTTGGCCAATGCATAGATAAGACATAGACCAAGTAAGGCGAGGTAGTCATTTTCGCTGCAATCGAGCGCTGATAATACTGTGTCTAAAAAGGGACGGTTCGAGGCATCGGGTTGGGTGCTACTTGCACTTTCACCATAACTTATTTTCAATTTTTCCTTTTCTTCATCGGTGATATTCATCGCATCAATGTCAATGGACGCTGATTGATTGGCGACTGTTGATTCGTCAATGGCTGAAATAAAACCAAAATATTTGTAAATCTTTTATTTTTATATGAATTAAGCGTATATCTACCTTCTCCCACAGAAAGTCTCTGTGCTTGTCGACTTGCGGCATCGGAGGTGCTTGGTTCGCCCATCGCTCCATTGTCAAACACTTCATTGGTTGGTGATGGTGTCGACGATCCATCGAGCGCCTGCTCCAAACTCTCAACCGGCTGCGCAAAACCCAGTGCAACTGCACTCCTTTTCTCGATGTACGCATTCAACACTTCGCCGGCACCATCTTTAAACACATTATGATCGGCGTTTAAAATGACCCAAGCCAATGCATGCACTAACGGACCGTGTGTTATCACAAGAAATACCAACGATAATAAAAACAATGCCACCACACACGATACACGCGGATTGTTCATCTCTTGGATATCAATATCAACAGTTTTATTGAGAACGGCCGCTAGATTCTGTGCTATCAATGCCATTGATAGTGGGGGCGGTGCCGGTGTCAATGAAAATATATACAACGGAACAAATAGCTTGTGCAACAAATGCTCCGTTAAAACAGCATTCAAATCAGGTATATTCAAGCATAAAATATCATTCAAGTAGTGTAAATGGTCCAGATGCTCGGCAACAAGATTGGACAGACGATGTTGTGATTGGTGACTGAAAATGAAGAAAAATTGCAATTAGAATTTTTTTTTTCTGATTCTCTTAATTGGTGTTGTTTCATTTTTTGCATACAACAGAATGGAATTTATTTATTTTTGGTAAATAAATTATTTACCAATGGAAAATTCCGCATTCCAAATATGATATGCAAAAATGCAAAAAAACACTACTACAAGCTAAAATGTTTCAAGTTCAATTTTAAATGAAATTTGAATATTCAGTGTGTGAAATACGCAATTCAAGCGAAAAACAAATGTGTCAACTTACTCAATATCATTGCGAACACACGAGTCCAATTCCAAAATATGCTTACCGATGAACCACACTAAATTGCTAAAATATGGGGCGGCAGTTCTGCAATGAAAGAAAATTAAAGCAATAAAAATTAATTTCAACGACATATTAACTTGATTGTAAACATGCATCTCAATGAATACATTAATCATTAATCGATTTTTTTTGGAAAATAAAAAGCGAAAATTGTGTATAAAAGTTTTTAAGTCAACCGCTGATAAGAAAACAAATTACTTGGCGGCTCCTTTATAGATAACTATGGCACGTGTGTGACCAATGCGGTTGCAACATGTGTGCGAACGATAGAGTTCTATTAAAATAGATCAAACGAAAATTAAATACCGAATAAAATACGGAGTGAAAACACTTGTCCAAAAACAAGGCACTAAATTCTTCAATTTTGAAATATTTTGCCATGAAACGAAATAAGTTTTCTTCAAAAAATTTCTTCACAAAAACAATGAATTATTCATGACAAAAACGTAGACGATTGGAATAAGCAATTCTTTAGCTTCTTCGCTTACAAAAATGTCGAAAAATTGAAAAAAATCAATAAAACAAAACAAAATGTGTCTCTTTTTCTATTTCTGTGTTCTATTGACGGTTTTTGTCCAAATATATGTCATTTGTATAAATTTCGGTTTGCCGCCCATCTTCCACCCTTTTAATCTAAAAAAAACACCCAGCGAAATCACAGTTTCATGTTTTAAAAACCAAAAACCTGAGTGATAAGCAACGTCGATTACGTGAATGACAAAAGGTTGGATTAAAGAATCTTCATAAAAAAGGGTCATCAAAATGTCTAGTAAAAAAACCGAGTCACACTTTGAGTACAAATCATTTAAAAAACTTACTTATCACGAATAAACTGTAGCATATTACTATTTTCAACTCTGTAAACATTAAGTGAGATGGTTCTGACTGCGATGCGAACCATTGATTCCGGATGATTAAAGAACTTAATAGCTTCGGTATAAAGTGGAAAATCATTGGTGTGTTCATTATAAAAGAAGTGAATGGTATGTACGTTGAGTTTAAGACTCAATGTTTTCAGGAACAAAATATAATATCCCATAACATCCTCATCGGAAAAGTCAAATTTATGGACGATAATTGAATTGACATGATTGTTACTAAGTAAGTAGTACAAAGATGTTTCGTTGCGAATATTTTCGAATAAAATATTCAATGTTTGTAGTAATTGAACGCATACAAAGCTGGATCCGCCGGATTTTTGTCGCATAATATGTAAAAAATATGAGAGCATATTTTTCTCAAGGAAAAAATCAAAAACCGACGAATCATTTTGATCACCCCAAATCAGAATCTCGGCTATGCATCGCAGCGATTCGACAAGTAAACCACGATTATGCTCGGATACTGTTGTGTTTCGCTCAAGAACCGCGTACAAATACTTCAGATGATCCAATGAGAGGCGATTCTTTGGCTTATTCCAGCCAAACCAACTGCGACTGCGAAACATTTTTCAGCAACCAAACAAAGAGTGCGTCGAATGACTGATTTGTTGTTGTAATTCGGAATGTCGACGCACACCTGAGCCTAAATCACGTTTTTGCTGTGAAGGACATTCACATATGTTGTTGTTGTTGTTGGCCAAACACACGAAAACACTTATTTTTCATCACAATCATTTATTTTCGAAGTGTCATTTTTCATTCATTTAAACGATCAAATCTTTTGCTTCAATTAAATATATTTGCATAACTCAAATACAATAATAATACGCAATTTTATTTCACACACACGATTACATGACTTTACATTCAATTTGTGGAATTCAATGTAAAAATACACTTTTCGAATGGGATATTTTCAGATTAAACACAAATTCCGAATTTTTTCGCACAAAATAAAGTAAATTTTGTTTTGTCGTTGCGACGCAACTAATGAAAGTATTTTCGATATATTTTTTTTCTCTTTGGCCGAGCACAAAAAATCGTGTGAAGGCTCGTATGTTTTCTATTTTGTCTGACTGTTTTTATACGATGACACTTCGTTTGGCGATATTCTTGTATGGTTGTCTCGCTTCGATGCATGCATGTTATTAAAATGTCCAATGAAATGGGAGTACGCCACTCTAAAGTGACAGTGTTACTCACACATGGACAGTTTTGCTTCGGTTAGCCTTCGTTGCATACATACGACATGCAATATACGTCAAAACAGCTGTTAAGTACTTAAAACAAACAACATTCCGTGTTGTTTCAATGGAATAAATTGTTTTCTTCGTTTTTTTAGTGTTTTTCCCCTATCAATTATTTTTGTATAATTTTTTCTTCTTCTTTCAAATTTCTCAATTTAACCAAAAGAATAAATTCAGTTACAAAAATGCGCGGAGACACCTTCCAATGAAAAAATATCCCACATTAAAGTACTGCGTACTTAATCGTGTCTCGAACGAGATACACCAAAAACGGGTACATGTGGAAAGTGAAGCGAAAAATGCTGACTGACATTTCAAAGTGTATGCGTGTGGGTTGTACAAAATTGACTCATAAACAGCGAATTCTCTAATCATATTCATGATTTGTTGGTCATCAAATACCGTCGGCTGTGGTATATTCTAATTATATTTTTCAAAGGTAATTTTTCTTACAATCGCATCAAAATCACTAAATTTCCACAAAAAACTCATCAATTCCTAATATATATCCGTAGCAACTGAAGCAGATCGCATCTATTAAAAAGGCGTGAGCCAAATACCAAATCGGGTCATTGTGTTTTGAAGATAGTTTGGTTCTGGACAAAATCGCGATGTCAACAACATTGAAGCCGTATTTGACTGCTGTTCGTCATACATTGACGGCGGCAATGTGTTTAACAAATTTCTCATCGCAAGTGGTTGAGCGTCACAACAAGCCGGAGGTGGAGGTGCGAACGAGTGAAGAGTTGATTTTAACACCGGTCGTCATATCGCGCAATGAAAAAGAACGTGTTTTAATCGAAAGCAGCGTGAACTCTGTTCGTATTTCGATTGCCGTCAAGCAGGCCGACGAAATTGAAAAGATTTTGTGTCACAAATTCACCCGTTTCATGATGATGCGTGCCGAAAATTTTGTCATTCTACGCCGTAAACCAATTGAAGGCTATGACATCAGTTTTTTGATCACAAATTTCCACACCGAACAAATGTACAAGCATAAGTTAGTCGATTTTGTGATTCATTTCATGGAGGAAATCGACAAAGAGATCAGCGAAATGAAATTGGCGGTCAATTCACGGGCACGTATCTGTTCGGAAGAGTTTTTGAAGAGATTCTAAAGCGAGAAGACACAGATGGAAGCCAGCCCACAACTGAAGCAAATAACTGAAACTTTAACAGTACGCATCAAATTTAGAAGTTTAGGGTCAACCTTTTTCCAATACATTTCACAAAAAAAATTCTTTTTTTTAGAAATTATACATTTTTCATGTTTTGAAAAGACACACACACACACGACGATTCCCGTCGTGTCAATGCCAGTAGATTTGATAAGCTATAAAATGATTAATATCTCTAGTATTTGTAAGCCAATTTGAAATTGTATGTGAAAATCAATTATTAAATCTTTATATACATACACAGCGATTGTTTTTCATCACATTTGACAATGTGACACGTATTTAAATGTAGTAGCCATGATTTGTACAGATTTTTTGATTAGCGGTGGAAGAAAAATGCCGATGGCAAATTGGCAATCGAAAGTCAATGATATAAATAAAATTCTTGGTCAGAATGCGGAACCAACTGAGATTCGGAAAAAGCTATCGATGGATTTGAGGACAGTAAACAGCAGAAGAGAGGTTATACACACTATTTCAATCACAAGTTTTTCTAACTATCACCGAAACACATTTATTTCGTCTTTTTTTTTAGTCAAACGGAACCAATTGGTCAAGTCCAACAAATCTCTCGGAGCGTTTGATGAATGTAATCAACTACAGTGATTTCAAGGGTGCATCGACAAATCAAACGCCACACGGAAATTTAGACGAATCAAATTGCAGCCCAATAGTCACCACAACGTTTTATGAACAGCATGGTGACACCAACCAACACTTACCACGAATTAGTTCCGATCCAAGGAGCTCGAACAAATGTACATTTGATTGGTTGGGCGCGGGATGTAGTTCAAGCAACGTTAGCATTGAATTAAATCATAATCCAGAACAAGTATTGAATCTCATGGAAATGGCCAAGAAGAACATTGTCAAACTCATCGACGATCAAATTCAATTAATCAAATATAAGCCACAAGCACCGAAACAGTGCAAACAACTCAAAAAATTGGAAATGTTACAGGCCATCAAAACGGTTGAACGACAAGATTGTATACGACGCATACGGGAAGAGTTGACATTTAAAATGGATAATTTAAATAAATTGCTCTGTGAATTAGATGAGAAATCTTGAGTGAACTGAACGATTTTTTTTTGTCTTTTTTGGAAATTTTTCAAATTATTTTCAAAATAAAAAAAAAAATATTTTTGAAAATTATTTCTTTCATTTAATTTTCAAAAAAAAAAAATTCTGAAAAAAAAATTAAATAAAAAAATGTATCAAAGCGAAAAATGAAAACAACCACATAATCAATTAATAATTTTTTTATTTATTTATTTATTTTTGTTCTTATAGAATAATTATTTTTTCGTTGAATTTTTTTCCTCGATTAAATAATTTAAATTTTATTGCAAAAAAAAACTGTACAGTTTTGTGTTTAAATGCGATTCGAAAATCGGATATAACAATTTAATGCTTTTTTTCTTTAATTTTATTTAAATCCAAATAAAATCTAATTTGAGAAAAAAAAACACGTTAGACGAGAATAATGGTTGGGGCAGCTGATCAAAGGCTGATATATAATTTACCACAGATTAAAATTTATATATATGTAAAAAATCTCACAATTTTTTTTTTTCAAACAAATGTTGGTCATTTTGCCTAAAATCGGCAAAATCATGTGAATAAATTAATGAGATTTAAAAAAAACGAAATACTTTCATCAGGCAAACATTTGGTCTCGAACCAATACTTGAAATCACTCTTCTTATTTACTAAGCGTTAATATAATACAAAATAGATTAATTTCAAATAATAAATTATACAATGCAAAAATACATTATATCGCTTGCACAGTTCCAAAAGTATGAGTGAGATTTGGTTTTATAATCAACGAACAAAAAAAATGTTTAAAAACAGACGGAATTTTTTCCTCAGTTAAAACAGAACGACATTTGCTCGGTTGCGCAAAACGAAATTACAACGACGAGGCAGGGAGGGAGTTTGTTTATCGTTGGAATAATCGCATCAAAAGATGTGAATATGCCGGTTTTGGTGGGGCAGCTGGAACGGCCACTGATTTACTCTTTCGTTGGCTATCCTCCAACTGACGCTTCATTTGCTCTTCCAACAATTCGTGCATATCAACCTGAAATCAAGAATATTCTTTAGTAATTTTGCTTTTTTGGAGTTTTGTTTGAATAAATCTGATCAGATTGGTCTACAAACCTGCCACTGCTCTAATTGCTGCGACAGCTCAACTTTTTGATTAATGGCTTCGAGTAATTCGCTGTTTGCTTGCATGAGTTCGACACGAGTTTTGGCTAATTCAATTTCAGCCTTTGTTCGTCGCTGTATTGCCGAATCGCGATCGGAACGCGCTTGTGACACAACATCATCTTGAGCCAAACTACTTTCGGACGCATCCGCTTGAGCTCGGTTACGATCTTCTAAGGCACTACGTAATTCCACTTCCATCACCGACAACTAGAATAGAAACAATTCCATTTTAGTTATTTTGGCCTGATTTTTTAGGTAAAAAAAATTGAATGTCATCAGAACTTACTTTGCATTCCAAATCTGAAATGTTGGTCTGTCTTCGGCGTAATTCTTCTTCTTGGTCTTGGTTTGTGGCTCTTGACTTGTCCAGCATCGTTTTGAAATGAACCACATCCATGCTCATGATCAAATTGATAATGTCATCCGTCAATGCAGAGAGCATGCCTTGATGCAATTCTTCAGTTGAATCATACTGATTCGTTGAAGACTGATCCGCTGAACCCAAGAACAGGTCTGAATGTAATCCTATTGCGAAAAACAATTTATTCACATTTTAATTTTCACTCTTTTGTTCCAATGGTTGTGCATTTTGAAAAACATACCCGAATCACCGTCGTGATTGCCCTTCAGCGTAAAATGGAGCATTTTCAATTGGTTGTACACAGTGCGCGCTTCTTTGGCGATTGCATCGATTGTATTTAATGATTTATTACTGTCACCAATTCCTTGGTCTTCATCACATTCCATCTCATTCATCAATGACGAATGTCGTGGCGAATTTTGTATAGATCCCTGAAAATGATTGATTTTTTTTTTAATTTCCTTTGCTTTTTTACCTAAAAATCGATAATTCAATGGCGATACTCACTAATTTTTCATACAGCGCATTGTTTTCTACTTGCACTCGATCCAGGTGCTGTGTCGTTGACTATGAATAGAGAAATATTGAAAAAAAAAATAGAAAAATTCTCAAAAAAACTCTAAAAAATCCAAATTTTGATGAATTTTCCAAGGTCTTTGTACCTTTAATTTCGATTCTTGTTCCCTAGCATGTCGTTCAAGTGTGTGTATCCGATCGAGAGCTTCTTCCAACGACGAGAATATCGTTTCCTTCTCGATGACAGTGGTCTGTAGCCGTTTCTCCAGTTCATTTTTCGCTTTTGTGATAATATTCAGTTCATCTTTGAGACTTTCCAGCCCGTTAATGTGATTCTAAATGCGACGAAAAAAAAGATCTCATTACTTTACATAACATCATTTTGGGATGAAGTTTGCAACTTGTGTTTTTTCGCTTCCGAAAATCGTGCAATAAAAAAAGAATGGCCAAACAATTGCTATTATTGTGAAATAGAGTCATCGTTTTACCTGTAACGTTTGATGTTGAATGTTGTATTGACTTTTTAATTCTTGTAATTTGTTATTGAGTTGGACTTCGAGTTGGTTGGCTGCTTGGAGTTGTTGTGTTAACCGTGCATTTTGCGATGCCAATTCATCGACCAGTACGTTTTTTTCTCGTTCATTGTGCCGCACCGATGACTCCTACAAAATAAAATGAACCACAGAAAAGAAGAAAAAATTCAGTCAAAAATTGATCATTTCATGCTCATCAAATGTGCGCTGTCAAGAATAGCGAAACCGAAAAATGAATAATCGCACTCAATATATTTTTTTGTTATAGTTATTTTGCGCGCGCGGGGCGAAAGTTATGAATTTTAAATGGCACGTTCAGTGCGACGAAACTTTCGATTCGTCAAAAAGAATCATTTTTGTTCGCATGTTCATCGAAAATAAAAGTAAAAAAAGCGGTATCTGTCAATTGTGAGACGTGTTAGAGACTCGTTTGGTTGCGCCCGAGGCCTTTGTGTTTCAAATTACACAAGAACGAACTGCACGATTTTCACCATCACATTGGTCAAATATTTTGACAGTTTTTCGCTATTTGGTTCGATGATTTTCGCAGCTCACTTTCTTTCTCGCCGCCAAAATAAAGTGCTGGAGCAGAAAAAGAGTGATTTATGATGGTTTGTGGTGCAATCATTAGAGCCGGGATGCAATTACATGTCTTTGACTACATATATTCTTCTGTTTTTGCACACTTTACCTGTGACATTAGCTTTGATTTCAGATCATTGTAATCGGATTCCAGTTCCTGTACACGTAAATCTCGTTCACTTTCAGCCTCGGACAGTTTTCGCCGTAATATATGCTTCTCTTGTTCCAAACACTGCAAAAAAAAGATAATCTTGATTAGTTTAATATGCAACAGTGCAGCAATTCTTTTCTTTTTTTCGGATGAGAAATAGATTGTAATCGACGATTTGCATCAAAGAATTAGAAAAAAAGCGGATTTGTTTCTCGAGAAGAAAAAATACCGACTCACAATCAATTCGCGACACATAAAGAGTCGGTTGTTGTCGCACACAGTTGACGGGGGTATGTAACAAAAAGAAAGCACACATAAACCCGCATAAACCGAAGTGAAATGAGCAGGAATAATAGTTATTCATGATAGACGATCAATTTCAAGCAAGACACCGTAAACAATGCCAAAACAAGCATCATTCGCTTCGGTGGCAGCACGAGATTTATTATTATTTTTGATACAACAACAACGAATAAAATACTCTCAATATCTACGCAATTCAACGGTTTTTGACTTCTTTTGTTCAATACATTGTGATCAAGTATGAAAAGACCATGCGAATAACTAGCACATAAATTATTTACGCTCGCGTTCGACGAAGCGAGAACAAGAAAAATTGTGGAACAGATAATAAGTGCACCGAATTTGGAAGGAAAACATTTTTTCGAGAGCGAAATTGGGAAGATTTTGATTGTTTTGCACAACATTGCACATTTTTTTAATAGAAAAAAAAAGATAGAATCATACTTGAAACCAACTTAAATTGCTTAAAATGGTTTTATAAACTGACAATTCGCAAAATTTTTAGTACATTGCCAGATATTCTGCTTAATTCTACAAAAATAGTTGAAGTAACGAGTTTCGGTGAATTTTTCTCTAAAACTTTTTGGCGGATCTGTTTTAGGGCATGACTGAAATGTGTCGCTTTCTTCACTTATTCCAACTCCAATTTGACATTGTAATTCGAAATGTCAGTGACTTGAAGTCACAAAATCTGTGTCGTTTCAAATATGAATCAAGTCGAATGTTTTGATTCCATCGCCAAAATTTTGCGCTCTCTTTGCATATTGCAAATTTGGTGCCTACTCATCATTCGAAGACTTTCTATTACTTGAAAATATGTATTATAACCAATTTCTTCCTGGCATCTTTTCCATCCAGTGAACAACAAAAAAAAACTTCTGATTTTCCAAATGAAGTTGTTTGTGTAATTTTTGCTCGCATTCTCTTGTTCCGTGTTCATCCGGAGCGAATCATTCTTGGCTGTGAATTCGTTGTAACTAATTAAGATCTCCCGTTAAATGCGGTGCAAACATGATGTAAGTGCTTTTTGTTTTAACTCTGGGCTCTCCCACATTCAATCGAAATTAGAACACGCGCGAATCAAATTCAATTATTTTCACTCCGTTCTTTTCTATCTTCGGATTTTTTCTATTCTTTCGAACGAAAATGTTTCTTTCCATGTGTTTCTTTGGTGTTAAGACCAAAGCAAATACCTTTTCATTGTTTAAAGTTGATGGAAGGTCCAGAAACTGTTTAAAATGTAACAGTAATGAGAAATCTTTGGCTAAATTAAAATCGCTCCAATGAACTTTGATCAATGCTCAAAATCGAGTTTCGGATTCGAAAAGACTCCCGCTACGTTTGTTGAACGTGTCAACTAAAATGTTCAATTTAAAATTCAATTTTGTCGAAGAAAATAAACATTTTAACTAATCAACGTTTACGTATGCAAACAATGGTGTACGACATTCCAAATTGATCATCCCAAAAATCCCATGATTCGAATCGATATACATTTTTTTTAATAAAGTGTTTAAATATCGTTTTAATCTAACTGAAATCGACAATTGCTGTGTTACACATGTGAGAATATTTTCCTTTGGCAATAATAACGGTAATCGACCTGAACATTGCATTGTTCAATGATCGATGGCAAACAAAGCATTTTGGTTCGGTAAAATGTTTTTTATGCGTACACTCCGAATTGGTTCACAATTAATTGTCGGTTAGTAGTCGAGAATTTCATCATGTGAAAATCGTTTTTGAATCAGCACTTTTTTATTTTGGCCACTCAATGTGCGTACAACAATTACGTTGGTCAGAATGGGTGAGTCCATCATTGTGTAATAATCATCGAAATTCGACGAAGTCATTAGGTTGGTTTTTAATTATGCGATCTGAAATCGATCGAACTAAATACACAATTGAATGTAGATCTAAAGCTCCGAGTTGTTCAATATTATCGACATGACTTGGAGCCGTGGTACGGGGTCATTGAGTTCATGGTCGTTATAAAATACCAAATACCAAGCCGAGTCATCAAATTCTCATTTTGCTTGAAATCTCGAAACCGAAAAAAACGCACCACATATGAATCGATTGGTGGTAGACCTAAATGATATCAATGTTCGTGTGTGAAAGAGAAAAGACAAACAAATGTCAACAACACGCACAACACAATTCGAAAAAATGACCTTACCGAATGCCAACTACACTCTCTCCTTCAACGAGACCTTTTCAATAACGGCAATTGCACCGCTTGTTCGCATTTTACAAAACGCCGACAATGTTTAATCAACTTTTCTGTGGCTATGGTAGGTAGGGGCATTTCTATTAGCAAAAACAGTCGTTATGACATTCTTGGGCTCAATTGGGTTTAATTTACTTGCATTAGAAGCGGAAACAAATGTAAAATTAAACGAAGAGGGGCGAGTTTATGATTGTAATTGCATTTTGTTGTCAGTCAATTACTAAGCGGCTTGAGCGAACAATATTTTTTTTCTTTTTAATTTTTTTTACGCTACAATTTTCTGTGACACACTCTGCTTTCGACGTGGTTCGAGAAAAAGTCCAAGGCTCAAATTCAATGTCTTTGATCGAGCAGTGAACCTGAACGGAATTTCGATGACGACCGATTCTTTCACATTATTTTCACCTGAATTTTTAGTATTTTTATACTTTTTTCGGTTACAATCACATGTTTTTTTTGTGAGGCGAAAAAATGTTTCAAGATCACATTTTTAAGCAGCGAATAATTTTGCTTTGTTGGCTCGCAAAAGAATTGAATCGATTTTGTTTAAATTATTTACTTTGTCTAATATATTCGTGTGTTTATTATCAGCTGCTGACGTTATACAGACGGTTTGATCGATAATACGACGCGACACAAAACACTTGCGTTTTCATAAATAATAACATTCATTTGGTGGAACGAATTTTGTTTGTGCGCTTCGGAATTTTCAACGAAATTCACAATTTTTCATGTGGAATAAATGGAATTGGATTTGATAGTTGCGTAAGAACTGTTATAATGCGTAAAAAGCCGATTTCCCCCACTTTCAAAGAAGTTTTTCTTTTTGAAAAATTGACGAAAGTTCTTCTATACAAACAATTAAGCCACAAAGTGAACAAAGTTTACACATTTCTCTTCAAAAGCTAGGAAGAAGTTTCATCAAATAGATCGCAATGCGAATGTTGTTCGGTGGCATGTGTTTGTAAACACAAAGTATTACTTTCAAAAGAACAAACACTTGCCAATTTGACATATATAGTTGCGTGAATGATGGTTTTGCGTATATAATGCGATGTTATTTGTTTTTTTCCACAGAAATGTGTCACTGTGTTCCTTGGCTGTGCATTGTTGTGGGAATCAATATCACCATAGCAATGATTCTCCGCAAATCGCATAAAATAATAATAAGTAGAGCGAATTTGGAAGGCAATATTGAACATTTTCCATCATCACTTTTTTTACTTTTGGATGGAATAAAAAGGATTTCTTTTATCCTTGAGTCAATATATTTGCAAAAACCTTCCGAATTTTTGGAACCTTCATATGGAAAACTATGAAACGTAAGGTATATCGAAAGTTTATATGGAATTCATTTTATTGGAAAATTTTTGAAGAAACATAGCGAACGGTCGAACTTTGAACTATCACAGTTAGTATCTCATTTATTTTAGCCATTTCGGTTAGTTTTTGACCATTTTAATGACAATTTACATGTATTTGAACCTTCTCTGCAGTTGGAGCTCTCTATTTTGTGCTAGATTTTTCTCTGTGCAAAATTTTGGGAAAGAATTGCCCTACAATTGTTTCTAATCTCCGGAGGATCTTTAAGATGAGCATTATGATATCGAAGGCAAAAAAACATATTCAAATCTATCTTTAGATCCATAGTTCATGTTAATTTTCGTGAAGAATAAATCCGTATTTACATACATGATGAGAATTGTTTGGAATGTGTCCAATATATGCCCTCAATATATATTGAAGCCACCCTGTAAAAGTAATGTAAAAGTAATGACCCATTAAAATCGTCGATTTTAAAAAGCGATAAAAATTGGCGCCAAACGGTATAACCCATAAAAATCGGTGGTTATTATATTCCTTCTTCTTCTTCCAACAAATTGTGTATTTGTTTCTCCTTTTCCCTCGTATGTGGGTGTAAAAATACTGATACGAACTCATTTCTATCTATTCTTATCTGCCATTTCTTTTTTCAAGACACAACAGTGTCACCTATAGACCGGTAAAACAAAGTATACTTATTTTCGTATATTTACCGATACAAAAATTATAATGCACAACTGTTGCATATTTTATGTCTCATTTCCTTAAATTCCTGCCTCGATTTTTATGCGCGTACGTATTTTTGAAGTCTCGCTTCATACAAAAAATGAATAATTTTTTTAACGCGATCACACACTTTCTTAACTATACACATCTTTCGTATCGATATGTCGAAAAAACTTATCTGTATTAGATGTTCGTGCGTCATGGCAGTGCATTGGCATTTCCATTTATAAATAGACTGTAGAAATGGAATAATTTCTAACTCAATATATTAGCGTGTACTGGTCACTGCGGAAAGCCATGCCTCTCAATTATTTGAGCGCTCTACATCACAAATGTAATCAATCATTCCATACAAAAATTGAATATATTCAATGACAGCACAGTGTCGATTTCAACTCTTTCGATGCTGCGAAGTCATTCGTAAAAGTTGAATTCAGATTAAGACAAATTAACCATCCATTTTAGAAATCGAAGTTTTTTTTCGCATTAATCAAATGGA